ATATTCACCAGCCAGACGGCGGTGGCGCATGCCTTTAATCCCAGCACTTGGGAGGTAGAGCCAGGTGGATCTCTGTGAGTCTGGTCTACAGAGTGAGATCCAGGACAGGCACCAAAACTACACAGAGAAACCCTGTCTTGAAAAGAGATACTCACCAAATGTAATGGAGCTGTCGGAGAGCAGCTGAGGCTCAGAGGATCTGTCCTGTTGTCTCATGTCAGCTACCAGACAGAATGAAAGATGCTTCCTGACTCAGCCTGATCCAATCTATACTCAGCAAGCTACATAAGCAGCACTGCAATGCTGTATATATGGACATGTATCTATACATGTAAGATGTATGTACATGTCCCTGTGTATGCATGCCTAAGTGGGTGAGCTGCATGCACCTGTCGAAGCTAGAGGTGTACCTCAGGTGTTTTCCTTTATAGTTGAGACAGGTCTCTCACTGAACTTGCCTAAGCCAGCTGGCTAATAATCTCCAGGAAGCCTCCTGTCTCTACCCCCTCTATCCTGGACTGGACATATGGCCCTGCTCTTGTCGTTTACATGAGTGCTGGGATTCCCAACTTTGATTCTCATGCTTAAAGGGCAGGCAGTCCATCAGCTGAGCCATCTCTCCACATCCCCTGATGCTATACTTTTCTAAAGCGATACAGGATGACTATGCTCAATACTCCCATGAAAACTGAGAACATGGTAGAGAAGGAGAAGGGGGACAAGGCAACAATCTACTAAGCTCTACACACACTCTACACACACACACACACACACACACACACAAACACAAACACACACAATCAATTAAGCTACCTCTGCATTCATATCCGTTACCCTTAAAAGGGAATTACAAAAAGAAACAATTATTAATAGCCAATATAGCCCTAAAAAGGTAATCAATAGAAGAAATGATCTATCTACTACATACTCAAAACTACCAACAGTAAATATTCAACACAACTAACTGGCCTTTTCCTTAAAATGACGTGGGTCCGTGTGTATTTAGTTTACTGTGTGTGCTTTTCATCTTTCTTACAAATGTTTGCTTTCTTACTTTTCCTTCATGCATTTATATAGAATATCCTAAACATGGAGGTAAAATGGTTTTATAAGAGTAAGAAAAATAAAGATAAAAATTCCCTAAACCCAACACGTCTAACTATCATAAGCAAAAAGACAGACAGGAAAGAAAATGTACGAATGATAGTCTCGATTTTCTCTTTTGTTTAGCTGATTTTTCTTCACCCAGATGGTCAGAACTGGAAGAATGGTTTTTCCATGTCTAAATCATCAAATGTAATTTCAACATCCAAATGAGAGCTTTGGTTATTTGATTACATATGATTACACTGCCTTTTTAATCTTCTATTTTTTTTTTTCTGAAAAGGGGAACTTTCAAAAGGAGAAAAGACTATGACAAAGATTAGGCCACAAAACACACATGGGACATAGTTTCTAAATCAATGCAATTGTGCTAGGTGTGGTAGTGTGCCCCTACATAATCTCAGCACCACAGAGGTCGAGGCGAGTTCAAGGCCAGCTGAGGCTACATTAGACCCTGTCTCCAGAAACACAAAGTTAATAAAACAAACTGTGTTGTTTTAATCAGACATGAAAATCATCATACTTACATTAACATTTTCTTCTTTATTGAATGCTTCACTATTTTTAAGGCTTAGAAAAATAATTTAAGAAAATTATGCTTTTATAAAACACTAAAAAGAACTAAAGTTCTATCTTCAAAAAAGCAAGAGCCCTAGACATACAGTACCCAGTGAACACTTAAAACAATCGGCCTTGGGCCAGAGACAAAATAGCCTTTCCTCAAATAGCAGTCTCCCTTTCTTAACAAGAATCATATTACCACAATAATGTTTAGACTACCCAGCATCCTCCTCCGTGACCTCTCTCCTTCCCTCTGGGCCAGCCTCTTTTTCTGGTTCTAAGACAGTTCTCTTTCTTAGGGGCTAAGGAATACATCATCTCTTTCCCCAAAGCTCATGAGAAATACAAATCCTTGTGGTACCTGACAAGGTATGACTCTATTTGGAGAGTTTCTTTAAAGAAATAAGTAAGATTAAATGGGGTAACTGGTGGTCTTCATCTAATGAGACTGGGCATCCTCTTAAGAAGAAATTAGGTCAACACATACACAGAGGGAAGACCATGAAAAAAACACAGAGAGAAGTCCTACAAGGTAAGGAGACAGGAACCAACCAACCAAATACCACACGCGTGAAACCAAGGCTATCACTCCCTATTGTCTCGGGCACATCCCTTCTAGTTCTCCAGCTCTTGAGTCAACTACAGCAGACTGGGAATGGGATGTCTTTTAATGCACACCCAAAACTATGTGGCTTTGGAAGCAACCAATGGGTAGAAGCCAGAAGAGTCCTGAAGCACCTGACAGGAAAGTCTGGATTGTCTTGAAGGGGCTGCTGGTAAAAGGGTAGTGGGGGGCAACTGGATGACTTCCCTGAGGTCCCAGATGGAAATGAAAAACACGGGAAAAACAAAACTCAGCCTGTATTCCCATGCTTCCTAGCACTTTTGCTTCATCGCCCAAACATTTCCCCTTGACAGAAAACTTCAATTCTACTCTAGAAAGGTAAAAACTGAGATCCCCTCTAGCCCCTGCTGCCCACCTTCTTCTCAGCCATTTCACCTACAGGTCTATGCCCATTTCGTAATGAAAAAACCACTAACTTACATTTACAGCGACATCAGCAACATAACTACGTCACTTCATCATGTCTGGAGACCTAAGACCTATCGGCTGCTTTTTTTTTATGAATCTCAAGACCGCATGTAAGAGCTTCTATTCTCCCCTGTGATCAGTAAAGGCATCAAACAAGCTTCCAGAGTACTGTCTTATATTTACTTTGCACTCCCCTTCCAGAACCCCCTACAACCCTGGCAATGCCTGAACCAATGCAACAAGTCTCCTAAGCTACCTACTGCTATCTAACTATTATCTACTAACTACCTAAGACACTGAGGGCAACTGGTTAACAAGCACTGGTTTCTCCTAGCCGCCTTTCCTCCCATGGAGCCCCACTAAAATCATCTAATTATAATAGTTTTGCCACAGTGCATAGAGTTTCTCAATTTTGTGTAAATAACTCTTCAGTACACAATGCTTAAATTTACAAGAGAAAATACCTTTCTTATCAGCAAACAGATGCTTGAAACAAAGTAACTATACCCAGTGAAATTCTACCTAAGGCCAAATGTCTATTTTTACAAACCCATGAAAGTGGGGCATATATAACCTTTTCCCATGCACTATCCAGCAATCCTGAATTCACTGAGAACTCTTTCTCCATTCTTGAGTGTAGATCTTTCACTGGCAGATGGGGTAAACACCATATTTGGAGGCATATCCAGTCCAGTATGTCAACTTTGCCTCAAAATATTTGATGAAATTCAGAGTTTGTTGGCCATATTATGAATGTAAAAAGTGGAGCCAATCTGCAAGCCAACTCCAGTTAAATCTTTGATGACAGATTTGGGATGTGTTCTGCAGAAAAATCTTTCTCTAACTCAGGAGGTTACCTTCCCAGCAACTCATTGCTTGTTGCTCAGCAGCTTCTAAACCCCCTAAGCTTACCTCCAAACCATGTGTCCAAACTTTCAGTTGCAAACCAGTTTGCCTACCTTATTAGTTAAATGGCGAAAGTGCCAACCAGCACTGAATCAATGCAATTTGCGTTTTTAAAATTATCTCTCTAGTAACCTCCAACCTGCAGAGAAGTATGCTGTACAGACAGCCTTTACTTCCTCATGGTGCGCCCCCTTTTAAAAAGCATTAAAATGCCAAGACACATCTAAGGACTCAGTAGATCATTATCTGTGTGCCTGGAATTTGGAGCACCCTAAAAACAAACTTGACTCCCTCCCCAAGCCACCACCAGGGTTTCTGTGCCAAAAGAAAAACATGGTAAAAGAAGAAAGAAAACCAGATGAAACACCAGTAGAATCCAAGAAAGAAAGCACATTATGAAAGACAGTGCGCATATAAGCTATTTATCTATATGTTGAGAAAATGTCCCATCAATTTTTGCTTATTTTTAACAATGAGGTAAGGAAGAGACATTAAGACAAGTTACAGGGCATCCCAAATTAGCTTTAGTCTATCAAGGGACACACAGCCCAGGTGCACTTATCCAAAACTTTGCGTTAGAAGTTCGAATCAAGGACGTTCACATTTTATTAAGGTTTTAAGGGATCCTCTAAAACCATAATATACTAAATTGGATAATTCGATCATTACACAATCTTCATTGTCTTTGAACAAATTCTACACCTAAAAACCTCCCAAACTCGGAGACCCAATCCCCTCTGTTCCCAGATTACTCATTTTATAAAGGGCATCATCCTAAATGAAGGTCTATGGACACACAAAGGTGATGTTGACAGGACAGCTGTCCTACAACACCGGATGAGGTGACCTGGGTTCAGTTCTCTGACACATCCCCTCAGGACACTGGGGGAAAAAAAAAAAAACACGGAGAGGGATTTTCCCTCTAGCTGGTGAAGTCACCGTCCTCATATCTGATGCTAGAAGGAAACCCCAGCCTCCTCCTGCAGGCCTGCAAGCCCACGCAGCGTCCTCCCAGCGCAGAGCAGCCCCCTTCGCGTCCGCAGCTGCTGCCGCCGCCCCCTCCTCCTCCCCACGCCGCCCGTGACCCGGGAAGGAACTGCCCAGCCCCCGAGCCCCCCGAGAAGAGAATGCCAGCCCAAAGCGCACCATCGTGTCCCGCGCAGCAGCGCTCCCACACAAAGCCGTCTCCCGCATGCCCCCTCCCAGCTACCAGGCCCCGACCCTCCCGCACTCCCCTGCACCGCCCAGGCCCGCGCAGAGCAACAGGCGAGCAAGCCCGGGCGCAGGCCGCGGGAAGAGCCCGGCGGGGAGCGCGCAGCCGGGGAAACTTCCAGAGTCCCGGGGGTGGGGGGGGGTGGGGGGGGGCAGTGCTCGCTCGGGCGGGGCAGCCGCTTACCGGGATCGGCGGCCCGCCCGGACACTCCCGGGCTGGCCAGAGCGCTTGCGCCCCTCTCCGCTGAAGTCCCGGCCCTGGCAGCTCCGGCTGAGCGCGCACGTTCACGCGTGGCCGGGGAACCGGAGCCCGCGGCCGGCCAGGCTCGCTGCGCGCCGACCAGGCTCCCGGAGGCCGCGGGGCTGCGGGAAGCCGTGACGCCGGCGGGGCGCGCTGGCCAATCAGGGGCGCGGCCCAGCCGCCGCCGGGATGGAACGACCGACCGGCGCCCCGGCCTCCCGGCCCGCGTGGATGACGGACAGCGCGAAGGCGGCGGCGGCGGCGGCAGCAGGGTGTGGGGCAGGCTCCTAAATGTGACTTCCCAAGGAAATGGGTTTTGTTTGTTTGTTTGTTTGTTTGTTTGTTTAGTGGAAGTATTTTCCAAATATTGCGCGGGAAATACTTGCTCTAAAATGTTGCTCGTATTTTATCAAAAACTTGAATTCGGTTGAGAAAGAAATTTTTGTGTTTTATGCTCCGGGTCTCTTGGACTATTGCACTCATATACTAGCTGCAGTTTTCTTAGTTCCTCGTGAGGACCGTGCTCTGCATTAGTGGCCTGTTGAGAAACTCGGTGGCCAAGGGAAGCCCTTTCTTGAGAAGTTACTTAGCACATCAAGATGCATTCTTAGCCGGGTGAGCCAATTAAAAGGAAAAACAAAACAGTAAACATGGGGAAGTGCTCAGAATTGTCTGCTGCTGGGAAGAGTGGATGCCCCTTTCTGTTGTGTGCCCTTTACAATTAATTGTCTTTCTGTTGACCTCAGTTCTGGAGTCCCACAGTCCATCCCCAGCCCCACCCCCAGGAAAGAAAATCTCTCTCTCTCTCTCTCTCTCTCTCTCTCTCTCTCTCTCTCTCTCTCTCTCTCTCTCTCTCTCTCTCTCTCGTCTAATATTAGAGTGTATAATTTAAAACTCTCAGAATCTGAAATATTTACAAGAATGGTATATAACACTGAATAAAAGTATACTATTTTTTGGCAGATTTGTAATTTTGTTTTGTCTACTAAAAATCAATTTGCATTTCTCTAACATTTACTAAATATTTAAGGAGAAAGACAGCACATAAAATACACAAAGCTCCGGAATGAAACTGGTGTCTTTCGATGGATATTTTTGCCTGCTGATGGGAGTTGGTTAAACGTGTAGCCCAAGCCCTCAAGTCCCTTGGTTCCACAAACTTGAATCAGCATAGATTTGCCCGGCAGGAAAATACAAACTCTTAACTGGTTGTCTTCAGAATCCATGGATATGAATCAACTGTAGGATTTTGAAGGTGAAAATGTAGTTCAGATGAGGGAAAGTTCATCTTATCTTATCTCTCTCCCCCCACTTTTGTCTGTTCTGTCAGGTCTCCCATCTTAGAAACAAAGGAAAGAGAAGCAGGAGGGGCTTTCTCCATGGTTCTGTCTCCACCAGGCTTGTTCTTCATCAGAGCCTTGGAAGAGACCCTGACTTCTGGGCCAGTCACTGCACTTCAAATTTGAAGTAAAATCTAACAGAGGAAGACAGACCAGCATAAAGGAGATAAGAAAGAGTTGCCAAACTGTGAGATAGCTTGGTGTTGTAGAATATTAGTTTAAGGTGTTACATTTGTTTATGCTGTGGAACATTTGTTTAATGATGCAAAGATGTGTCCCATTCTTTTATGTTGCATTTGTTTAACTCTGTGAAGCTGTGTTACTTTGCCTGCCTAAGACATCTGATTGGTCTAATACAAAGCTGAACAGCCAGTAGCAAAGCAGGAGAAGATAGGCAGGCCTGGCAGGCAGAGAGACTAAACAGAAAAAGGAACAGAGAGAAGGAGCAAGAGAACAAGTAGAGGAGGACCCGAGGGGCCACACAGCCACACAGGCAGCCACGGAGTAAGAGTGAAAGTAAGATACGCAGAAGAAAGAAAAGGGAAAAAGTCCAGAGGCAAAAGGTAGATGGGATCATTTAAGTTAAGGAAAGCTGGCTAGAAACAAGCCAAGGTAGGCTGGGCATTCATAAAAAAGAACAGGTCTCTGTATACATTTATTTGGGAGCTGGGTGGTAGCCCCCTAAAACAGTCAAAGAATAACAAAAAAAGTAGAAAGAAAATAAACAAACACAAACAACTACAGCTTGCTTTGCCTAATGCACACTATTAAGGATTCCTTATATTTTATATTGGATATAGACTCGGGGATCTGAAAGCAAAAGGAACATTACAATGCCCACATTTCAGTCATAGCCCCAGTGAGGCATTTTCCACAGCCATCCACTTTTCTTAGATCCAAATAATGCTTAAGCTGTTCTTATTTTTAAAATGAACAATATTTAATTTTTTGATAATGCATACATTATATTTTGATCATATTCGCTCCCATTCCACCCCTCTGAATCTTTCCAGATCCACTTCCACACCCTCCTGACTTTACATCCTCTTTTTAAAATTTTTAATAGCCTATAAAATCCAATTTATGCTATGTATATACTGCTGGGTGTGGGACCATGCCAGGGAGCATGTTTGACCTACCTGGGGCCACATCTTTAAAAGAATGACTCTTCTTCCCCAAGAAACCATCAGCTGTAAACAGTGCTTCAACTAGGGGTGAGGGTTCATGATTCCTTTCCCCTTCCGTGGTGGACTATTGTCTAGCTTGATCTTGTGAAGGTAACCACAGCCACTGTGAGTTCATGAGTGCGGTTCAGTTGTGGTGCCTAGTTTTATGACAACTTGACAATAGCTAGAATCTTTTTAGAAAAGGAACCTCCATTGAGAAAATGTCCTTACTCCACCGTGCGTGGTGCTATCCCTAAGCTGGTGGTACTGGGTGCTATAAAAATAAGCAGGCTGAGCAAACCACAAGGAACTGTGTCCAGTAAGCAGCACTCCTTCACAGCCTCTCCATCCATTCCTGTCTCCGTGTTCCTATCCTGTTTGAGTTCCTTGTCATGGCTTCCCTCAGTTTGCTATGATGCAGGATATGTAAGCCAAATAAACCTTTTTCTCCCCAGGTTGCTCTTAGTCACAGTGTTTTTTCACAGCAATAGAAACCCTAACTAAAGCATGTTTTGTGTCAAGAAGACTCTGCTTTGCTTTGGTCCTCCTTGACCTCCAGTTCTTACAATCTTTATGTGCCCACTCCTGTAATGGTTCCTCAACCTTGGGGAAGTGAGTATGATATAGAAGCCCTGTTTGTGGAGAAGTACACCACAGACACTTACCTCCTATCCTTTTACAATTTGTGAGTTTTTACATTAACCACCATACACTGCACAAAGAAACGGAGATATGGTAAGGTCATAGAGCTATACTGGTCCATGAGTAGAGAGATATGGATTTAGAGGTCAGTTTGATCCTGTGTCCATTTAGCAGAACATTAGTAGCAGGTTCTTCCCTGGTGCTTGTGAGTTTCCCAACAATTGGTTCTTGGCAGGTTTACAAGACCAGGCATGAGGAGCAGGCCTTAAACCCAATCAGAAAGCAGTCGGTTACCCACATAACATTCACGCCACTATTACACACTTGACATCTTGGCATGCTGATGATTATTGTAGCTAACAGGGTTCACAACTAGGTAAGTCCATTGCTGACATTTCCCCCTCACCAGTAGCCTGCATAGCACCCCCAGTACTATGAAATCTGGCTAGTGGTGAAGAGCTCCCTTATCAATACCAAACTGATGTCTCCATGTCCTGCAGCCAAAGCATGTACTGTCTTTCAAATGGAGTCTTACTATCAAGCTCTGAAGAGCAATGACAGAATCCTGTTTTATTGTGGTGCTTTCTGGAATACTTCTGACCAACAACTCCATGGAAGCATCGCATACCTGACTTTTTATTTGTCAGCTTGTGGCTTCTGGGAGGAGCATTATTCCCTGTGTGGGGTAACTCCAACTAAACTCATGGGAACTGATCCCAGGTTTCTTTTAAGAGTTTAATTAGATATATGTCTTATAACCAGGTTCCCAAGCAACTTTTTAAACATCTTTAGTGTTGGTTATCCCATTACTCATCACTCCTCTTCCTACCCTGCCATCCCTCTCCTCACTTAAACCTCCATCTCCATTATTCCCCCGTTCCTCTTCATATTACCTGCATTTTGCTACCATCCCTTAAGATATTTATTCCCCACTTCGCCAAAGACTTCTGTAGAAGTTACTTTTCTGTCGCTTAGATAAAAGTATTATGACCAATGCAGCTTAAAGAAGAGAGGATTTCTCTTGGCTTATAGTTCCGGAGGAATAAGAGTTCATCTTCATGGCAGGGAGACATTGCAGCAGGTAGCCATGGCAGATAGCTAAAGCAGCACGCTTATACCTCACATCTTCAAATGCAAGCACACACAGAGAGAGTGAATTAGAAGTAGGGCCAGGTTATAAAATCTCAAAGCCCACATCCAATGATGTATTTTCTCCAACAAAGCTACACCTCTTAAACCTCTTCAAGCAGTGCCACCACCTGGGGACCAAGTGGAACAAATACCCAAGCCTATGGTGGACATTTTTTCATTCAAACCACTACAGTCCCTCTCTAGTTTCCTGGTTTCACAGATGCTTCAACTTAAACTCACAGATTCAGCATTAGGATCTACATGTGAATGAGAACATGTGACTTTTGTTTTTCTGGGTCTAGGTTATCTCATTCAATAAAATGTCTTCCAATTCCACCCATTAACCTGTAAACTTCATAATTTCATTTTTTTCTTCATAATTGAATAAGATTCTAAATGTGTATAGGTACCAAAATTTCATTATCCATCCGTCAGCTGGTGGATATCTAAGCTGTTTCCAACTTCGATATTATAAATAGAGTAGCAATGAACGTAAATGAGCAAATGTCTCATTCTATAAAGAGCTGAAAAACTAAACATCAAGAAAACAAGGCAATTTAAAAGTGGGACATGGAACTAAACAGAGAGTTCTCAGAAGAAATACAAATGGCTGAGAAAGATGTTTACAACTGTTCACAATCCTTAGCCATTAAAAAAAAGCAATTAAAACTACTTTAAATCTTCACCTTACCTCAATCAGAAAGGCTAGGATTAAAAAAACAAAATACAGCAAATGCTGATGAGAAGGGGGGGTGCAGAACTCTTGTATTCTGTTGGTGAGGGGAGAAACTAGTGTGTCTACTATAGACATCA